AAGATATCCGTCGTAATTGACGGGTCCTCCTCTTCATCCCACAACATCAACGCGGGTGTTCCCCAGGGATCGGTCTTGGTTCCCACACTGTTCCTTATACATATCAACGACCTCCTTTCCTGCTCGATCAACCCAATCCACGGCTTCGCTGATGACAGCACCCTACATGCAGGAATTCGGAGCGACAAGCCGATCTCTGCCGCTGAGCTGGAAAAAAGAAGACTCACGACCACTTCCTCTCTGACTAGAGACCTGGAGGTTATTACTTACTTGTACAGTTTAATGCTTCCAAAACACAGTACTGTACCTTGACGAACAAAAAGCGTCCTAGCGCTCATCCGGTTCCGATGGACGGCCGAGTTCTGCCAAAGAGCCATTCATTTCGGCTGGTCGGAGTCCAGATCGCCGAGTACCTGACCTAGCACCAACTTATCTCATCAATAGCGGCAGTTGCTGGGAAAAAGCTAGGCTATTTGTTCAGGGCTAAGAAGTACTTTTCTCCGCATGACCTTCTCACTATATACAAGGCCCAGATAAGGTCTAGCCTCAAGGATTGTTTACACGTTTGGGTTGCTGCAGCCCCGACTACATTATTTATGCTCGATGCTGTCCATAGGAGGGCTGGCCGACTGATCGATGACTCTTCTCTAACATACAGTCTTGGGACCCTTTCGCACTGGCGGGCCGTCGGCGATCTTACTCTCTCCTACCGCTACACCAACGGGCTTTGCTCCTCAGAACTGTCTTCCATGATGCCGTCGCGCGATGTGCCTGCCAGACAGACTCACCTGACTTTGGCCTCCCCTCCTAACCCTGTCGAACTTCGTACATCTAGAACTGGCAGATATGACGGCTCCTTTGTCCCGAGGGTATCGAGATTGTGGAACAATCTCCAAGAGGAAGCTTTTCCCAGTTCTAGTAACCTTAGGCAGTTCAAAAATCGGATTAACAAAATTTCTTTGGGATCATCATAGCAGCCCAGGCGTCCCGGCATTTAGGCTTCTGCCTGCGCGGCTGCTGCGGTATAAAAAAAGGCTGAAGGAGAAACAATGTAAGATTGCTCAAATGAAAAGGCTAAGGGCCATTCCTGACTGGACACTGCCGTCTAAATCGACATATGAGACTGTTGGGTCTCGAGGAAGAGGCCACATGCCGTTTCTGCAGAGAGCATGGAAACCCCAGCGCACCTCCTGTGTCACTGTGAAGGCCTGTCAAGGCTACGGTTTCAGAGAGTAGGGACCACAGGTCCAACAGCGGAAAGCTACATGCAAGGCCCTGTGTCAAGGCTATGGAGTCTGATCAAAGGATCGAGGCAATGCTTTAGAAAGTATATACATATAGGAAGGTCACAATAGATCCACTTGGGTGCGAGTGACGTTGGATGGCAAGCTAACCCCTTTCTTCTGTAATCTGTACACGCGTTGCTTATCTTAATAATGTGTTAAATCGATATTTATGCACTAGCGTATGTAGTGTTTTTGTAAGAAATTAGGTTAGGTTAATTTTATTATCTTGCATAATAATTATGAGGAATTTAGGATAGCTATTAATACATGTGTTTCATGGTGAATATGTTCAAAAACAGTGGGACTCTAAAATTAGCAGATAGTGACGATCAGTGGTGGCGCATGGCGCTGCAACACAGCAAAAACGACGAAATCAAACGTCACCGATAAAGCTTATAACTTTTACATTTGAAAAAACTGTCTTCAAAAAATCAAGCGACGTAGTTCCACCCTCCATTTTGAACATCTTTTTTTTTGCTGATGACACAATACATCGGCTAGCGTTTACGGTGCACCTGAAAATTTTTGATGTTGTTATGCAAATTCCGCGCCCCGCCTTACCTAAGCATACCAAGTTTCGTTTGCTTTCACTCATGGAGAACGAAAATGCAAAATTTGCACGAAAGTCGTATAGTTACTGTGTGAGATTTTCAAAAATCCATACGTATCTGCAATTTATACTAAAACTCGTCTGCTAAGTGATTCTGCATCTGTTGTCAAATCGGTACTATGACTGACGGAGAGTACCAAGCGTCTAATTTTTTACCAATTTCAGCTTCATGATATTTCAGAACTTTTTAATGATTATATTCGCATTCAACGCCCCACGTTACCTAAGTGTACCGAGCATGCAACCTACATAACAGGCGATTCTGTTCGTGTTGTAAAAACGACCCAGAAACTTCACGCCTGGAGTACCAGTGGTGTTTTGACAGGGTTGTCATGTTGGGAGATTTTCCCAGAAAGTTTGGGGATTTTTACTTGAGGACATTTTTGGGGATATAATGTTCCGGGGGAAATCACACGTTTCGCATATAGAAAGCATCCGCCGCTCTTTGAATCAAACTATCGCTTCCCATTAATTAACTGATTTGGAAAAGTAGCAATTGTGAGGGATTTTTATGCTTGTTCGGGGGAAATTCTGTCCGACCCATCTGACAACAATGTGCTTTGGTACATCTGAAGGTATCTGTTTTTTATAAAACTCAATTTTTATGAATGATAAATAATAGTAGAACCAATTACATCAGGGTTGCCTGTCAAAGACAAGATTCAAACGGTCGGATCTCGTACTATAACCTCGGCTATTCTACGCATGCGCTGGTACCCGTCAATCACTGCGCCCTCGGTCAGGCGTCAAGTTTTGCTGTCGTTTTTTGCTCACTTTGCAGGTTGTCCTGGTATATAGGCTCCAGGGTACTGAGTTTCATGCGCTTGTAGCCACGCATGACGATCATGGAAATTTTGGACGAAAAAAATGGATATTATAGGACTAGGTGTGCGGAGGAAGGCGAAAAATCTGATGATTTCCACCTACCAATAGTTTGTCAGGTTGATCATCATCCTCATCCCGTATGATAAAGATGACGGAAGACCTCTGCTCTACCGGCTCATAACTGCGGCGTTCTGCGCAACCCACAGATCTGTGCAAATTTCAATTATAGGACGTGTTATAAGCGATGTTTCAAAATTCCTTGCGAATTTGCCATGTGGATGAAAATCCGTTTTTTTGGGAAAGGGTTCCCAGGCAGATAATTATCTAAATAAGATTATTAGAATTACCTAAGATTTCTGAAAATATGGATGATCTGGATAAAGTCGTTTCCTTGGTTTTGGTGGATAGATTTTAAATCCGGCATCAATTAGGCTCTGAGACCAGTAAGAATCCAGCAAAACAATATTTCAAAATTTTTTGAAAAAATCGTCCAATTGCGCCGCGCATAACAAAACCGAAAGGTTTTCACGGCAAAGCCACAGCACGAGAAGATGTTCAAAAACCTTGCATATATTTAGCATCTCTTCCAGATACCATACGAGTGCAGCACTTTCCCAGAACGCTGAAGATTTACTCATGTCCAACCCATACCAAAATAGGATTTAAAGACGACCCTTACGACTGGAGGCCTACAGCTCTGCTTTCTATTATATGTAAGGTAATGAAAAGGTGCATAAATCGGTAGCTTCTGGAGTACATCGAACGTCACGGCTTGATATAAGACACTAGCGATCCACGGGGGACGTCACGCAACTCTGGAGTAAACTAGTCCTGTCTTATGGTGAGGCTCATGTCGTTGCTCTTGATATCACGAAAGCGTTCGATCAGCTGTGGGATACTGTTCTCTCATGCAAACTTCTATCCTATGTCTACCCAGAGAAGCTTTGCAGATTGGTGGCTGACTCTCTTTCTTGCCGTAACGTATCCGTCGTAATTGATGGATTCTCCTCATCATCCAACGTCAACGCGAGATCGATCTTGGCTCCGACACTGTTCCTCTTACATATCATTGACCTCCTTTTATGTACGATCTATCTAATCCACAGCTTTGCTGTTGACAGCACTCTACATGTAGGAATTCAGAACAACAAGCCGATCTCTGCCGATGAGCTGGAGAAAAGAAGACTAGCAGCAACTTCTCAATGACAAGAGATCTGAAGGTTAGCAATGCTTGTGGATGCGACAATCTGGTACCAAAGCACAGTACTGTACTTTGACGCGCAAGAAGCGTCTTAGTGCTCATTCGGTTTTGATAGATGGCCGAGTTCTACCAAAAAGCCGTTCATTTTGGCTGGACAGATCACTAAGGTACAAGTCCCAGACCCGAGTACTGCTCACATGTTGGGGGTGCTGCCGCCCCGACTACATTATCCATTCTCGATACTGTTTAGAGGAGGGCCGTCAGACTGATCGATGAGTCTTCTCTAACCGACGGGACTCTTTCGCATCGACGGGCCGTCCGTAATCTAGCTCTCTTCTATCGCTACACCAACGGGCTTTGCTCCTCCAAGTTCTCCACCATGATGATGCCACGCGATGTGCCTGCCTGACTTCGCCCTCCCATCCCAACCGTGTCTAACATCCAGAACTGGTGGATACGACCGCTCCTTTGTCCCTAGGGTATCCAGATTGTGAAACAATCCACAACAGGAGGCTTTTCCCAGTTCTACTAACCTTAGGCAGTTCAAAAAGCATTTTGGCTTTTGCCTGCGCAGCTGCTTCGGTATAAAAAAATCTATGATGTGGGTGAATACTCCTTCCCTGAGTAAATCAGGTACGTAGATTCTCAATCTGGTGTCAATTTACGCTGGGACCAACGGCCTCAAAATTCGGATCGACGATACGTTTTTATGGCCATAGGTATGTCGTATGAGGGTTGCAAATACTTTGTTTTCAGGATTCTCGAATTGTACGAACGTAGGATGAGAAAAAACATTTGCTATTATTCTGTATAATGTATTACATGAGGTGTTGTTTTCTACCTATCGGTAAAAATACAAAAACACGGTGCTATTTCATAACTTTTGGCATTCCGACAAAAATTTTATCTAATTTTATTTAGAATATAACATACTAAATGTCAAGTTAAAATGCATGAGATATTTTTTGTGTATGAATAGTGATTTCATTTTAATAGTAATCAAGAAACGGGGTTTTCAATTTCATCTTATTACAAGTTCGCACAAACTACAAATAAACGCTGGCCATAAATTTAGTAACTTATTTTCAGAATTTCATGAAGCATGTTCCACACGTACTTATTTATGAATTCACTCCAAAAATCTTTTTACAGTTAGATCACAAAAAATATACGCCCATACAAAGTTTGCTGTGCGCGATTGCTATAAAAAATGCCTGTCAAGTAAGTTGACTTTGTACTTCCAATGCTATGTTTGGGCGCACATGATCATTGCTATGATTAATCTAAAAGCTTTCAAGGGTAAATGTACAGTGACATTTATGATGAGTGCGATATGGCTAGAATGCATAAAATTACTGGAGCTGAAGGCGTATCAATATACTAACGTTGAAAAATTGCAACCCCTAAACCCCAGTATTTAACTCATACAGACATTTTTCCGAAAACGATCGGGAGCCTCTGAAACGTCAAAAAACGAAGTTTTTTCTATTGCGTTTTTGTCCTTTTTCTCTGGGGCCGATTTTCAAAAACTGTAAAGCTTTTTCGTCCTTGGCATAGCTGTAACCTTGTGTAAAAATGTGTTACAAATCTGAGCAGTACTTTCCAAATTATACACAAGCCAAGCATTAGCGGACAAGCAGGACGACAGACAGACAGGCCGACGGAAATGAATGATGTTCATCAGGGTGTCCCAAAATAATGAAAGTTATTTTTTTAAACTTTTGCTTGAACAATGTCAGAACAATTGTATATAAAGTTTTATGTATTCAACAACCCTAGTTCAACGCAGTTTCTCCTGAAATGTTGCCACTATACAGAGTGTTCATTTGAAAACTTCCCACTAGGGATTTATCGAAAACCACTGATTAAAAGAAAACACTCTGAGACACGTGAATGGTTTGTTAAGTGGGACCACTTTTTAACCAAAAACTACTTGACCCCCTTTCATCCTCGGCCCTTCAGGCCCTGAAGCTCAGGGTTATTCCCTTAAAAATGTTAAATGACAAGGGGTATCGAGTAATAGCTTCTTTAAAAGGTATTTCGAAGTCCTTTATTTTAACGTTTGATTTTTTAAGATCAGTCGATTGGTTTTGGAGAAAATTAGAAAAATTTGTACCTTAGTTTGTTCAGATAGAAAACAAAAACACACGAAAATATCACTTTTTATTTCAGTAAGTGTTTAAAATGTTGCCTGTTAGGGTTTGCCAAATTTACAATTCGTTCATAATTTAAAACTACCAACATAAACAGCAATTTGGTAGATTAGACGTGGCAACAAGCATATAACAACCCGAATTTTTTCCGCATTCTTTTCATCAACACAGATATCCTGGGCGCACTGTATTTATTGTTATACCTGCTTAGTTATTTGTTGCTAAGGGAAAGAAATAATTTAATTTGCTATGACAATCTTGGGATAGTGAAAATTAATTTATTGATTCAGGTTTTATTTCCAAAATGGTTTACACACTAGCTGATAGAGTGGAAATGATTCTAATTTATGGTGCCCAAAATCAATGTGTTCTGCAAACTGTCATCACGTTTAACGGGGAAGATAACTTCGCATAGGTATACATTTTGGAATAAATCCTAATACTTCATTAGGCAAAATTGTTGCTGAGACTGGTATTTCACTAGGCTCTGTACACACAATAAATAAATGTCATCCGTTCAAAATGAAAATATTGCAAGAGTTAACCAAGATGATTTGGATGGGCGAGTTGACTTTTGTGAACAAATGACTGCAGCGATTAATGATAATACCATTCATGTAAAGAACACCTGCTTCAGTGATGAAAGCACATTTTATCTAAACAGATTTGTTAATAAACATAACTGCAGGTATTGGAGCAATGAAAATTCTCATGCTTTTGTAGAAGGGCATACCCAGTACCTGCAAAAAATTAATGTATGAGCAGGCATTTTAGGAAACAAAGTTATTGGACCATTGTTTATTAATGGAAATTTGAATGGAGACATTTATTTGGATAGGTTGGAAAATACCATCAATCCGCTTATCACTGAAACCATTGAAAACCAGATCGATGACGATGCAAACTTGGATGAACTTCGTCAACGCATCATCAAAAGCCGCCATGATATCCTACAACATGCTTTTTGAAAATGGAACTTGAACATCGCCTATATGATTGTTTGGCCAACAATGGGCAACATTTTGAACATTTATTGAAATATAAAGTGATATTTTCGTGTTTTTTTGTTTTCTATCTGAACAAATTAAGATAACTAAAGTTTTTTCTAATTTTCTTGAAACCAAATCGACCGATTTTAAAAAAATCAAACGACAAAATAAAGGACTTCGAAATACCTTTCAAATTGGATGACCCAGGGGGGCAGAGAGTGGAAGGGGGTGAAGTAGTTTTTGGTAAAAAAGTTGTCAAATCTTTCGACGTGACTTGGCGTTTTCTCTTTTAGTCAAATGAACACCCTGTAAATAATTCTTTACAGAATTTGGATAAACAATATTCATTACCAGCTTTTCGACAAAAAGTGAAATCATCATGACTTGATTAGACAATAATGCTTTTCTACTTTCCTAACAATTATTTTTGCTCATCTACTTTTGGGTGCAGTTTGTTTTGGAAAGTATGGTATGCCAAGTTTCGCTTTATTGTAGTGATTTATTACTAAAAATTTAAATTTGTTGTGAATAATATTTCATTATTATCAACATCTGCTAGTGACTTTTATGGTTGTAAGAGTAGCAAACGCAATTTTTTTTTCCGGAGGCATTCTCAAGTGTCAAATGACTGTTTGGGCTCTGAACGCTGTGATATTGTCCCTGGAGTATGAGTGCATTTTCATTCAATCCGTAGTTGCATCTATTGCGCAGGAAATTGCGGAGACAGATAACGTCCGTTGCGAGAAAATCGGCGCTACACCGCGCTTAGAATATGTGAGTAAGTAGGTTGCATGGATTTGTGATCGTTTTATTTTTCGCATCTGGCTATCTTATAAAAGTCAAGAAAAACTGTATATACAATTCCACTGAAACAACCGTGGGCTGTGCGCTGTAGTATTTTTAGCCCAGGCAAAAGCAAAAGCAAAAGAGATGTAATTTTATCCATTGGCCAGAATTGTGCCAAGCCATATAGGGCGCCTGGGGCAGACGGCCGACGGGTTTGCGCATCACAAGTCTCATTTGCTTTACGACTATCGCAGCAAGCGACGCTTTAACGACGCCGACGCCTGTCCGATGCCACCGATGCACCGCACTGTTGCCAAACTTACGCCAATTAAGAGGGATTGGTCTCAAAGTTTTCGCTTCTAACAGTCATCAAACATAACATCTTAACAATATTAATAATAATAGCATTTCCAGGATAATTATGCGAACAAAATAAACTAATAGTCTACGACAGAGTTAGGAAAGAAAATAATCAATTTAAGTAACGAAAAGCCCTCATAAGAGAAGACATAAATATATCACAATGACAGCTAACTCTGTTGAGATTTTTACACATAACATGCAAATAGTTTAAAAGTGATATAGTTGCGCGAAGAAAATAGAGGTACATTAATGTTAATTTGCGCCAGAATATCTGAGGAATCGATCATGCGATGTAATAGTTTGAAAATAAATATTGCAGATAAAACCTTTCTTCGGAATTCTAAGCTTTGAATTTCAAAATGCCCACACAGTTCTGCATTGCTAATTCCTTGCTCAGGGTAAATTTCCTCAGACTTCATATAAAGAAATTTGAAGAACCTTCTTTGAACATTTTTAATTTCGCTTATACTAATTTGGGCTCCATATAACACTCGCAAATTCAAGTTTGCTACGCACAAATGTAAAATATAATACGTTCAAAGCCCTCGTGTAGCGAAATTGTCTACAATTTCTGACAAGAAAATCGTATGACTTGAGCGCTTCTAAAACTTTTTGAGAAATTTCTGACAAGAAAATCGTATGACTTGAGCGATTCTAAAACTTTTTGAGAAATATGGGGAGTAAATGTTAATATACATATATACTAAGTGACATATAAATCCGAACACCCAGTTTAAATGGTTTTATTTTAATAAAATTTTGTATAAGTACTTAATGAAGCATAATAAGTAACTGATAAAAATTTCAAAATGATTGCACTGCTTTAAAGCCCTTTGACCTTTAATAATGTGTGGATGCACCCTGATGTGCTACGCATTCTCCAACGCGCCTAGGCATGCTTCTGATCAGGTGGTCAATGTCCTCCTGTGGTATCTCATTCCAGGCAACCACCAACTCCTCTCGAAGTGCTTCTAGAGTCTGAGGAGGACGTTGCAAATTGAGCAATCTCCTACCCATCATATCCCACACGTGCTCAATTGGGGATAAGTCGGGAGATCTTGGTGGCCATGGTAACATGTGACATCATTATGTTGAAAGAAGTCTATTGTGACTCTTGCAACATGTGGTCGGGCATTATCTTGTTGGAAAGTTGGATCTGCCAGGGTGTCAAGATAGGGTAAAAGATGGGGTTCTAGAACTTCGTGGATATAACGCTGCGCGTTCATGTTACCTCTGATGAAGATTAAAGGTGACCTGGAACCATAAGCTATAGCACCCCAAACCATAACTCCAACAGTGTGATGAACATGTCTTTCAACAAAAAACTGTGGATTCCTCCTTTCACCACGTCGCCTTCTAACCCTGGCACGACCATCGTGCATGCCTAAACAAAATCGAGACTCGTCACTAAAGACAATACTGTCCATTCCTGATCCCAGAGTGACCGTTGTCTGCACCACTCAAGGCGATTACGTCGGTGTTCTCGAGTTAAAGGGAGGACCCAGTGTGGCCGGTATGAAAACAAGCCAAAACTTCTCATTCGTCGGTAAACACTTCGCATGCCAATAGGTCTTCCGTGTTCTGCAAACCATTCATTTGCAATGGACCTGGTAGTGGAGAAACGGTCCCTTAAGGCCAATAATCTTAGGCGGCGATCTTCACGGTCTGTTGTTCTACGGCGGACGTCCAGTGCCCCTTGCTCTTTGCGTACGGCCTTCTCGAAGCCATGCCTGACAACACCTAACCACAGTGTCTACACTTCTTTGCACTCTAACTGCAATTGCCCGAAAAGAAAGTCCAGCTCCCGAAGTCCCACTATACGGCCCCTATCAAACTCACTAAGTTGACGAAATCGTACAGGTCTCCGTACTCTAGGCATCGTAACCGATCGTAAAGGATCCGCCAACGTTGATTCTTTACTGCGGCTAAAATATTCATTTGTAGAGCGTTAGTGAATTAAAAAAAGTACTATAAAAACCGGAATGTCCAACTGATAAGGCTGAAAATTTTTTCACTTGTTATTTACAGTAAGATAAATACATTCACCAACTTTTATTAAAATAAAACCATTTAAACTGGGTGTTCGGATTTATTTGTCACTTAGTATACTATTCAACTCTATAGAGGACTATATTTTCATGTCGTCAGCAAAACATCATTGCTTGCATTTAAAATTTCCACAGAGGTCATTAACGAACAATAGAAATAAGAGTGGTCCCAAGTTAGACCCCTGGAGAACACCGAATGAAGCTATGTAGGCTTCGGACTTGAACTCATTATATGCTGCGTATTGCTTCCAGCCTGATAAATAGTATCTACAGAATTTTGTAGTGCTTACTGAGAACCCAAAGTGCCCTTATTTCTTTAACAAAGTTCCATAGCCTTTAAAAAATCTGTATAGATCATCGACCTGACACTTATCATCCAGAGAGTTAAAATCACCAAGTTCGTAACAGTGGATTGACTATTGACAAAACCGTGCCTTCAAGATTAAGACATTCGCAAAAATGCGTATGAGAGAAATTGGTCATTTGACATCTCACCACTTTTGAAAACATGGCACACTTTGGATAACTTCGCAGGAAATAGAGAAGATCCCTAGTACAGTTTTTTTTTTACCAGAAACGAGTCCCGATTCATCATATTCTTAAGTATTGCATGGCCAAGATAACTTCCTGAACGGGATCTAAATTTATACATACATGTATATAAATTATGGTATATGGTATATCGTTTATTTAGTAAACATCTTATTATTCCTGTATATTCCCGGTATTTACTTTTCTTATGAGTTCTTGTTAATCATGATGACAATGATATATATCTGTGTATACTTTCTTATATTGATGAATAAATGTTCTTGTGTACTTTCACGTCATAACAATTCCTATCCTAGCCTTCAAGATACCGATTTATTATAAATACGCATATTATTAGAAATTAGATTACTTTATACTTTGCTGTACAACCTTTATCATCTAAATAAATAGTTCGTGGTTCGTCGCCTATTTTCTTTAGTTGGCTGCTACGAACAGGATAGCTTTCCCATTGAAAATGGGTTGGCTGTTTCCTCAAGTCTAGTCAGGTAGGTACCAAGTGCTACTCAATCGACTATCTGAAGGTCGAGAAGCTGTAACCCGAGGCAAGTGAGTACTCTACTTATAGTTTGAGCTATTTGGGTGACCCAAGCCTCATCCATTTGAGAAGTTCTGCCATTTCATCCCGAAGAAGTTATCCGAAGAACCTGACGAGTTTTGAAGTGCCTAGCCACGAAAAGCTCGAAAGAACAACGCTCGAGGAACCTGTAAAGACTAGTATAAGAACAAGACGTCGTCCAATGCAAGGATCGAGTCACTCCAGCAGATTTTCTGTTGAGCCCACTGAATTGACCATCACCGGTATCCCAGGAGGACCCATGCAGAAATTATTGCTACTAGCGTGTCAATTTTACATAACTAACTTATATGATGTGTTCTTGATACTAATTTTAATGCCTTTACACAATCGTTTACTATAAGAAGGGAAATACAAGTAAATTCCCCAATTTCAAACTCAAATTCAGTTACAGGAATTCGAGACAGATCAGCCGTTCCATCAGGATCTGAAATTTGAACGACTATCGTGTTAAATTTGATTTATTAAAAAATAGTTTGCCAAGATTTTCACATGAAACTAACAACCTGTCTAAATATATTCAAAATTGCAAACGATTTTTGATCGCATTTGATCGATCCCCGTTCCAACAAGAGGCTTTGATCTACGTTGTCTCACTGCTAGAAGGTGAAGCAAAATAACTGGTTTTACACGTTAATCCTAATACATGGTCCGTCAGAAAGAACGCATGTTTTTCGAATGGGTACTACATCGAGTGGGCTGGTCCCGTGTCGGTGGGGAAGGGTGTGTTCGATAGTGGGAGAAGTGCTGTTTCACGTTGAGCATCGTGTGTTCACTGTACGTCGGTACTTTCAAAATGGTGAGTCTGTCGTTCGAACGCAAGAAAATTGTCGTTATTGATCTCCAGTGAACTGCCAACAGTTGCATGAGCACCCCCTGCATACCCCGAAAGTTACAGTTCGCTCCCCGGTCCTGTCAACGTGTGATTTTTTTTATGGGGCTACCTGAAATCAAAAGTTTACCAAAGCAAGCCTCGGACCCTCGTCGATTTGAAAGAGGAAATAAGAAGAGAAGTAACCCAAATTCCTGCACGGATGCTGACCGACGCAATGGGCTCATGTCGGGAGAGGCTTGATTCCTGCATTTCTAGGGCGCCATATGGCCGACATAGTTTTTAGAACGTAACTTTTGTTTTACTCAAAAAAATGGCATGTGTTTCAGAGTATTTTGATATAACTAAATATTTTTTACCATACTTATTTTGACTGTACTACCCATTTAAAAAACATGCGTTATTTCTGACGGACCCTGTACTTGGGATGTACTAAAAAACACTTTGATTCACAATTATAGAGAAGGCAAGAGTATTTTGATCAACGAATGCTCATCATTGAAAACTTTAAACTAGGTTTTTATAAAAAATGGCTTTGGATTCATTTCTTACTGCCAAACTGCGAACCCTATCGTTCTCTTCTGTTACGCCCCAAGCCTGGAACATAAGAAGCCGCTCTATCTCTGCTTGTCACGACTATGACAATTTGCAGTTGCAATCTAGCTTCAAGGACGTTGCTTACAAAAACATCAGATCTCCTCAAACAAGACCAAATTTGCAAAACCCTAGACCAAATTTGTCTACACTCTACAAAATCAACACTCACGGAGACCTACTCTAATGAAACAACCATGAATCCCAACTGGTCCCGTGAACATGCCCAGACCTATAATAAGCAACGCCCCTCGCTTGCCTACAAATATCCCTGCTTTTAGATCGAGACCCAAGCTAATCAAAATTTTGATGCCTCCAATCGAAATACCCAAAATTTCAGACCTACGCCTATGTCTACTTCCACTATTAGGCCGAATAATAATAATCGTCCCGTGAATAGACCCAGATTCTTTAACAATAATGATCAAACACGTAATTTTGTTTCCGAACAACTTACTAACAATGAATCAGATTTAGATTCATACTCATATCATCAAGAACCTTCTCATCGTGAAAATTATGACTCTCAATATTTTTAAATAAGGAATATCATGGTCAATATCAAAATTATGATCAATTTGAATATTTTGAAGACCCAGAAGATACATTCGAACATTTCCTTCCGTATTTGTACAGTACTGATACTCATAGATGCAGGAGCTTCTTCCTCACTGATGATTTCCTAAATCTTTTGAAATTAAAACCTGCAAAAAAATTAAAAAAGGACAATATGCTTGTAAAATTCCTTTGTTTTACGAATGTAGGTAGCAGCGGTGGCAGCAGTAGTAGACTCTTCGCTCTCCTGATCAGTCGCCGTGCGTTGTGCGGGTTCGAATCCCGTTACAAGAGAAATTTTTCTCTTGGCTATGGATGTTGTGATTGTACGTAGGTGGTAGTTGATCTCTGATTGTCGAACGCAGAGGTACCACCCGGCGGATCTCGTAGGCGGGGCCAGAATGTGTGCATGTTGCATGCACGCGTGTTCCCTCGCCAGAGTCCGTGTGACGTTCCCCCTTTCGCCCTGTATCCCCCTATACCCCATGAGTGTTTAGGCCTTAGGCCTTCGTGGTAGTCGGAATATATATAAACAATATGCAGTGGAGCTTGTATCAATTAATTGGCACAACAAGTACGACTGTCTCTTAGGCTATGAAGACCTAAAACATCTAAAGGGAATCATAGACACAAGTAACAACATTCTTAAAATTGCTAATTTAAATTTTATTTGCGATACCGGTAAAAATCCATAACCTAACGAAGTCCAAGAACGTTTATCGCTGTATGCAAACAAAATCGAAAACGGTCACGTTACTGTACCTCCATATAAGGATTCTGATGATTTTACGCCCAAAATAATTTGCTTAGTAAACAACTACGAAATAGATTTTCCTAGAGATATCATGGCACTTGACCTCACTAACACCGAGATAAATTGCGAGCGACTTGATTACTACGATATACAAATTCTGACATCTGAACATGTCCAAATTAATCCGAACCGAACAAATGCTTTTTTGAAGCCTAGTGAGAAACTAAAACCATGTAACGCCACTTCTGACAGCATTAGAACTAAACTAAACTAAAATAAATCTTTGTAAAATCTTTCAGATATCCTTTTCATTTAAAACACGAAATTTAAAACCAAATTACAAATTGCTTGAGGATGACGTCATTAGATCCAGCACTAGCCCATACTCATTTCTCATGTGGATAGTCCCAAAGAAGGCTGGCGCATCAGGATAAAAAAATATAGAATGGTTATCGATTACCGAAAACGAAATCACGATCGAGGAAAAATATCCATTACCGCGTACAGAAAAAATTCTTGAAAACCTAGGAAGAACACGTCTATCACTTATAATTGATTTTTGAAGCTTTAATCAAACACCAACTCAAGATTCAATTAGACAAAACCGAATTTTTCAGAAAAGATGTCCTCTCTTTAGGCTGCATAATAACACCCAACGGCATAAGAGTCAATTCTGATAAGATAAAAGCAATTCAAAATTTCCACATTCCTAAAACGACTAAGCAAATCCAATCATTTCTAGGACTTGCAAATTATTGCCGTAATGTAGTATTCTAAGTCCTTTTCATCTGACTACTTCATGATGTGTATAGAGATGACTAAAAAACATCGTTTTTAATTTTGTTTTGTCATATAATGCATTTTCATGCATTTTATTGTTGATTTTTTCTCCGATCGTATTTCGTTAAGAAATATTAGTATAGCTCTGGAATTGTATGTGTACATGTATATTCAACTTTTTTGGATGAATGAAACAAGTGATTTCTTTTATCGTTATCACTTTTTCCCTTCAAAAAATCTTTGTTTTTCTTGAAAACTCAACTTGCTGCGGAATGAGGCTTCAAGAAAATCAAAGATTCTTCAAAAAGGAAAAGTGATAAGCACAAAAGTAATCACTTGCTTCATTCTTCCATAAAAGAGGAATATTCACACACAATTTCAGAGCTCTACTTATATTTGTTAACAAGTTTGGATTGAAGAAAAGATGCACATAAAAATGCACAAACAATGCATTTTTGACAAACAAAAAATGAAAAGATTGTTTTTTAGTCATCTTTATACACATCATGAAATTGTCAGATAAAAAGAATTTAGAATACTGCTGCAAACAGATAGTTGAAAAAAAATCTAAAAAAGGGACGTGCCACCTTAACGATCAAATGGAACATGCTTATGAATATTTAATAACAAATTACAAAACCTCAACTACTTTTCATCCAAAAAGAGGATTAATAAACGGAAGTATATTTCCGGAAAAATGATCAAACACTTAAAGATCAGAAAACACTCCGAGAAAATTAAGACACCTTAAATTTACAGAATAAGGATTTAACAACTTTTTGTCAAGACTTACAACGAGCCTTTGATTATGACAGTGTCAAAATTCAACAGGGTATAATACTACACAATATTCAACGTTTGAATGTTCAGTTGGAACGCATTGGAAACATTGAATTCATAGTCAATGAAATCACTATGATTCAGATATGCTCCTCCTAGATATCTAAATTACTTTTGGCCACTAATTTGGGTGAAAACATTGGTTTAACAACATTTCAACTCTAGACAAACCAGAGCAATTACTACCTTTTGATACTTTACATTTATACGAAATCCTAGATCTATGTAAAACCATCATCTCTTTGAAAGATGAATTAATATTTGTTGTACACGTGCCTATACAAAGAATATGTCTCTTTTAATCTACTGACTATTGTCTATGACTAGCATCTTGTTACCTTACATACTAACAGTAAGTACTATCAAATTTGATTCATAATACTTTTGTAAAGAAGTTATATCTCTGAGCAATAAAGTCAAGCTTTGCACTTCGATTAGAGACTCGCAGTATCACATTGATACAACTAAATCTTACTCTTATCTTACTTTTCATGAATACACCAGAACCATTGAAATTAAGCCAAACAATTATATTTTAAACTCTAATCAAGATTTACATCTCAAAGATACCTAGACCAACGAAACCAGAACTATATCAGAAAGTGCTCACATAATTAAATCCTGTGACACATTTGCTAATTATCAAATTTTAAGGTTTGATGATAACTATTCAATGGAAGTGATACCTACTCGAGTTCATAATTTTACTTTCCCTAAAAACGAAAAACAAATTAACATAACATCTTATTTAAATCAACATTAAGAAATTATCTACAACAAATTAGGCACCTTACATTGTCATGCTTATGGTTCCTCGATAATTTATACAATTGTTATGGTTTTACTTATGTTTCCCATATTTTATGTAAAATATCGATATGTTTCAGATACGGAAATGAATGTAAACCGTGAATCAGTCCCACTAAAGAATATTAAACAGTGACTGTAGATCTTCATCTTTACACAGCTGGAGACCAATTTTTTCATGGAAGGAACGAATTTTGGTATCACCCTCGTATATTTAGTAAACATCTTATTATTCCTGTATATTTCCGGTATTTACTTTTATTATGAGTTCTTGTTAATTATGATGACAATGATATCTGTGTATACTTTCTTATATTGATGAGTAAACGTTCTTGTTTACTTTCTCATCATAACAAATTCCTTCAAGATACCGATTTATTATAAATACGCATATTGTTAGAGATAAGATCACTCTATACTTTGCTGTAAAGCCTTTAACATCTCAATTAGTAATTTTTGAAGTGGTTCGTCTCCTATTTTATTTAATTTATAAAATGTAGCCATCTATCGGATATTTTCAGTTCAGTTCAAGGATAATAAAAATATAATAAAAAAGAAATTGTTATAAATGGTAATTGTTGTATTAGAGAAAAAAAGTACGTTTTAAAAGCATGTGGCATTTACTCTGTAATGTTAGGCATCATTTACTTTGCCCTTTTATGAATTATAGTTGAAAATTATTATATATATATCCAGAAAATTTCAAGCCATCAGCCATAATAATTATAACACCAGAAACTCACATTAATTCCAGACACATCGCTATCAAATTATATATGTAATAAGTTACCAAAGAGTATAAAAGAAATGAACCAGTATGCTTTTGAGAGAACCCTTAAAAACGGCTAATAGCATACTATAGTCTAGGAGAGTACTTAAACGATAAAATTTGGGAATATATTAGCCTTATTAGTCATATGTTAGTTTTTTTTTGATTTTATTGTTTTATACTACTTGTCAATGTAATCGTTGTCCTTGCTATGTGTTAACCATCTTTTATACTCTATTTGTCAATGTGTCTTAATGTATTTTACTTTTTTTTACATTATGATCAAAAAGACCAATAAAATTTTATTCTATAGAAAACAAATTTCAGAAACGTTCTGGTGCCCGAACGACTAACGAAAATTGTCTGCCATCTGCAAAATCTCAATATTTCAATCTACCTGGACCGGATTCTGCATGTTAAAATATGGAAAAAGTTCATAGGTCCACACGGGTATTACGTATCTTGAAAAGTGACATTTTGTCGATTTTAATCAACATTTTTTGATTTTTTGTGACACAACGTAGGTTTCTCTGCAACTGTCAACTTAACACTAGCTGTTGTACACTTGTTGTGAACTCGTTTTGTAGCTGTACGTGCCTAAACGTCTTGCTGCTTCAGCTTATCAATGTTTGGCTCTAATGTGATGTAACATCTGCTTCAGAGATGGCATTATTGGAGGTCGAAGATGACTGGAAGGAAACAGCAGTGCATATAGTCGAAATCACGAAAGATGACGATTACGTCATCATTTTAGTCTGTAGTAAAGACTAACGACAACGATTTGTGAATATTTTTAATGAAGTTTCAAATATGTTAGACAGAGACAAACAGAATTTTATTGTCTAAACAAACTGTATTGCTAAGTTGCATATATCCGACAAAGATAGACGATGTTTTGATGTTGTAGGTTGTTTTCGAATAATACTTTGGTCTTTGGTGTGCCTGTCTTAAGGTATTCTATACATAACCGTTTTTTTTTAAACAAAAACTCCCCACTAAAATTATTATTAAGGTATCACTCAAAACCATGAATAAAATGAAAATAAAAATAATCAGTGAAATAACCTAACTTCTCAAAATCATAATATAAATTTGTTGTCATTACGTTCCTGACATTGTGGTTTGATCATCGACGTACGTCGATTGATTACTTCAGTACAATTTATGGTATGACGTAATAGTCAACTTTCGTGATTTTGACTATAGATGCATAGTGAGGATTTGTGTGCTAATAATCTGTGTTGAGGATAATTCCATTGGTTTCTTGTCTCAAATACAAATCTAGAAATCAGTTGGGCATCCACGTTTTCTTACTCATTCTGGAAATTACATATGCAAATTTGCTGAATTTCAAAATTGAGAGAGATAAGAATAGAAAATCCCTGGTTGGCGGAGCAATTGACTTTATGTGAAATCTTATATTTTATACAGGGTGGTCCATAAGTCCTTTGAAATTTCAAATTTGAATAAAATTTAACGGGTGAGCGTGAGCGGCGCGGGCGAGGTGGGGGCAGTATCTTCAGTGTCTGGGAATTCAGTCGCCATGGAGTGTTTCACTGGAGCGGATCGTGCTTTTTGTGTGCGCGCGTTTTATCAAAATAATGATTCGGCAACCATTGCGCTGCGTAAATATCGAGAATACCACAATTTACACAATTTTACAAAGTGTCCAACAGCTCAAACGATTAAGTACTGGGTTGCTAAGTTCGAAGAGACTGGTTCGACGTTAAATAAACAGCGGTGGGGTCGACCAAGGACAACTCGTATTGAAGAAAACATCAACATTGTGGCACAGTCTGTTCGTCAAAATCCTACCCAGTCTACTCGTAAGCGTTCCAGTGCACTAAACATACCCAGAACATCTTTACAGCGGATTTTAAGGAAAGATTTACGTCTGCACGCTTACAAAATTCAGTTAGTGCAGGAATTAAAAGATAATGACGCTATTCAGAGACTAAACTTTGCGAATGAAATGTGGAATCGATTTTCTTCGCTCAATAATGTGTTGTTCTCGGACGAGGCTCACTTCCATTTAAACGGGCATGTAAATAAACAAAATTGCCGTTATTGGAGCCCCGAAAATCCAAGGTGTAAGCATCAGAAGCCCTTACACAGCCCTAAAGTTACAGTTTGGGCTGCTATGTCAGCGCATGGCATCGTAGGCCCTTATTTTTTTGAGGACGACAGAGGTCGCGCATTAACTGTTACTTCGGAGCGGTATGTAGCAATGATAGAAGAGTTTTTGACACCAGCGTTGCAGAATTTTCCAGGCTATAATACGTAGACCTGGTTTCAACAGGACGGAGCAACTGCCCACACCTCCAACACTTTCTATGCCCGTCGTCTGTCAACTTTTTCCCAGCAAAGTAATTTCTCGAAGAGGAGACATTTCCTGGCCACCACGCAGTCCAGATTTGACCCCAATGGACTTCTTTTTATGGGGCTACCTCAAGAGTAAAGTGTACGACACCACTCCGCGATCAGTTGATGTCCTGAAAGAAAATATCCGAAGAGAAATGGCAAACATTACAGTGTTGACTTGCCGCGCAGTCATCGACAATTTTAGACGTCGTTTATATGAGTGCCGTGATCGTAATGGATTGCATTTAGACGATGTGATTTTTAAAACATAATTCCCATTCAATAAAGATGATAACAAAATATAATAATTCTTCATAATGTAACTAGTTTGGTTTTATTCCTTTTTTTCCAGCTCAAAGGACTTATGGGCCACCCTGTACTTACATACTGCCACATATTGCAATTATATTCACCGTACACTGTCGAATTACAAGTCATATACATGATAACAGTTATTACACACAACGCGGGCGCGGCGGTTATTTCCCGTGGTTCTCCTCAACGTTTTTGAAAACACAAAAACGGGAAAAATCGGGTATAGCTAATAGATATATACTTCATTGGCATATTCAGTGATAATTTTTTCACATATCATTGATATTTTATAGACATACAGACCAAAACACATAATCATTCAGTTGCGATCTTGCTTAACCAACTTTTTTCCTTTCACATCTTCTATGAGATAAACACTACAGACTACTCTGCTTTTTGCAACCAACAATGCATGCAAACTACCTAGTCTGCAAAATGACATTTTGTCTTTTTTTGTTGTTGTCGCTTTTTACGTTACTGTCAGTAATGCTTTGTATTCAAAATACAAAGTGTCAAGTCAGTCTTTTTTTTAAATCTGTCCTTTTGGGTAATCGTAGATGTATTCACTTATACTAAAGATTTAACTAAAACCGTGCAAAAAAATGTAACTTCAAATTGGCATTGCCATCTAGATCACAAGATTTACATCCGATAATATTTTCATTTGGAGATCCGGCTTTTATTGACACGTTTTTATTATTCAATTCAAATTTCGGCGATCAGTCTACACCTCATAAATTTCAAGAGCTTTCAACAAAACAACGTGTTTTCTAAAAATAAATGGGTACTTAAAAACATAGTTCGACACTTTTCATGTTAAAAACAAAGAGCTTTATTAACGCCCTGTGTGCGATTTCCACCTTAGTGTAAAATGGTGAATGGGATATACCGACAATAAGCAAACATTTCGATTGTGTAATAGGTGTATAAGAGTAGTCAACATTTCGGTATTCACCTTGGAAAAGTAAGGACATCACCCACTGTCAGCACAAGTTCATACACGTTGCCACTCTTGTAATATCTCATCGGAGGTCAGGTCGATTGTGATGAGGCTGACTTCTGGCACCTGAAAGATTTATTTTCATCTTTATAACAGCTTTAATTAGTGTTAGAAATATACACAAACAAACTCGTATATTTAGAAGCAGTTCGAAACAGCGTTAGCAGTTTCTTATAACACGGTATAGAGGCCAATATTTCTTCCATTTCTTAATTACATGGTGGCCAATATATAACTGAATGTTTTATTTGTCCAATGAGAAAGTTATGTGCAACAAATAATCATATAAATTCCCGCTTTCGTAAACTGCACAAACCTGAGCCCACTTGATTACTATTTGATAGGATTTGGAATGAATCTTTTGGATAGCTTTTCGGGTATTTCTTTCAGGTGCTCTATAAAACTTAGATTGTTCAAATAGACCTTATATTCTAGAAATCCTCGTGCACAGAATCAAGACTGAGGCTGTTAAATCTGGTGATCTTGGGGGATATGAGATCTCCTAAAATGTGGGATTAAACGTCCACATTCCACATCCACATGTAAGCCATTTTTCACACATCATAGATTTGCCCATGTCTGCGTCTGCTCCCGGCGGCGTACCGGTCTTGGTAAGTGTTCTCGTATTACTGCCGCGCCTGACTGCAAACCAGCGTTGACAGATAGGCCAGACAGAATTCCCCAACAACAAGTACTGGAATCTTGCATGTTAGGCGCGCTCTAGCTAACGTATTGCAGTTCTCGTTTGTTCTATTAGTAAACGAACTGTTTTCGTTCAGTCAACATGTCGAAGGAATTACGTAGTCCTAAAAAGGGCATATTTTTAGTAGAGGACGTAAAGCATCAAATTACCGTTTTGTCCTACCTTACTATTCGTGAACGCATTATTTACTGGGAAGAGGCACGTATACCGACTGAATATTTACCTATGTTAAAAATTAGTTACCTTATACCAAGTTTGGAGAGATTGGCAAAATGCAAGTAAAACACAAGAAGTGTCTGATCAAGGTCAAGAGTTTGTTACGGATTTGGACAATCTGTTTGATATTGCGCATGCCGATGCCCTTCAATTGATGAAATAAATGAAGATAGTACTTTCTTGCATCGGTAGAGAGAGCCACGCCGACCTGCTTATTTAGCTGGGGTGGACAAGGAATTAGCCATAAAAGAAGAAAAGGTGCGTCTTAGGAACACGAAGAACAAAAGCTGCGAGCTAAATATGTTACTTCCTTAACTCTTTCGGCATCATCTTACGAACCAGTGCAAAAAACTGATCATCAAGTGTGGATCTTGAGAAAATTCAGATTTATACTGAAAAGCTATCATGCCTGAATATTTCAGAGACTGACAAGCTGCTAGCATTTTATCGACATGAATTGACCAAAGAAGTTGCTAGAGATAGCTATCGAGAATTAATAGAACTTTCAATAATATTCCTAATATTCAATAAAGATAGCGTTACTAAATTCCCAGCTCATTTAGACTCATAATGCTTTTATTGCAAAAAGTAAATGCGTGTGTTAAGTGAGTATATACCTATATACAGTTACGTAAAATATAAACATGTGGATACAAAAATACATATTTACGTGTATTTAGTAACAAAGTGAGTAATTTTTAACTGTACACGTTTTGCATTGTTCCTATTTTTGGCAGAGCAATATCTCTCCAACATTTGATAAGTAGCACATCAGCTGCTGTCGCATTTTTTTGCTGTTCGCCGTACGTCAACGCCTTTTGTAGAGCTTCTAATCCCTCAGAATATGATATTTTGGCAGAGATTTCTGTCTCATTCTCACTAGCATCACTTAAAACTGTCTCATCGCCATTGTTACAAACACTTTTTATTAGTTCTGTATCAGTTAATTCTTCCACCAATTCCACCATTAGTGCACTCACCAACATCTGCCTGGGTAAGATTTCCACACCCTTCTATTTTTACGACGAGCTCATGTAAATTTTCGTTGTTACTCTCATAGTCTGCGCAATGTTCCATTTCTTGCTTAATTACCTTCGACCAAGATTTTTCTGAAGTAGAATCTTTTACTTGGCTCCATGCTTCTGCTATCCAGTATGCCACATTCTTGAAGTTAAACAGTCAACTAGTTTACAATCATTAGGTATCAACTTGATCTAAAATTTGCTCTAATAACAAACGTCTGTAATTGCGTTTTAAATTTCATAAAATTCCTTGATCCATTGGCTGAATCAGTGACGTTACATTAGGAGGAAAAAACATCACTCGTATTTCTCTACTTTTAAGTTACTTCCTCGCTTGGGTGGCTCGGAGCATTGTCTAATAGCAAAATACTTTTTCTCAGATATCCGCGTTCATTCAATATCGTTCGGTCTTGAGAAGAAACTGATTGTAAACCAGTCCTTAAATAGAGCGGCATCCATCCAGGCATCTTTATACTACACTGGAAGAGCGTTGGGACGGACGTGTTATTAAATGCTCTTGGTTTAGCTAATATTCCGATTATATAACAACAAGGAAGTTTGTGTGTACCGGAAGCATTGCTACAAGCAAGGACAGTCACACGTTCTTTACTGCGTTTGTAACCAGGAGCTCCAGATTCGTGTAGCTAAACTTTTCGCCGGTAACAGTTTATCGTTTAGGCCCGTTCGTCGCAGTTGTAAATTTGTTCTGGATTTAAACCATACTGTTTCATAATTCCTTACAATGTTCTACAAATTTTAATGCAGCGGACTTAGCGGCAGATAACTTTTCTCCGCAAACTTTTCATTCGTATACCGTGTCGGTTTTTTCCATCTGTGCAGCCAACCATCACTGGTTGTGAAATTATCAGGCGCCTCAATAACTGGCAATTCTTCAGTTAAGTTGATTGCCTTTTGCTTTAGAATTGGTTCGGAAATTCGTATTCCATGTTCTCGATCCTGTGTAAACAACAGATATAAAGCATCATCCACTTTTTGATATTCCACTTTTTTCATAGTTTTCCGTGATGGCTGCGATGTTATCAGAACACTAGACCACTTTTCAATTTTCTCGCGTTGTTTTTGCCATTCTGAAATGGTACTCACGCCCACACCTCACGTTTTTAAGCAAATGACCTTCTGATTGCCTCAAATTTCTGTTCTACGGTAATAACAACGCGTTTACGTTTATTTCTATGCTGCTGCATCTTAGCGATTATGAACACACCAGTGAATTCCGCAAACGCGCTTGGGGAATCACTGGCAGCGAATATAATGAAGCAAACGCCGAAAGGGGAACTACCGGCAGCTATTTCGGATCATGCGCCGATTATATTTCGGATAAAGCGGATTTCGGATAATCGCGATTCAGATAATCGGGGTTCTAATGTATCTGTCTTATCTCTGTTTGACGACGATGTAGATGAGGAAACTAATGTTAAAATTGTTGCTAATTTAACCAAATAAAGTCCATCAGCTCACGGTAAATCCTATCGTAAGAACTTTCTAGCCCATTTTATAGTAAGTCTGACAAAGAAATGTTCCTTTGTCTTCTTTTATTGCTTCGACATAATGTGCTAACTGTTAAAATAAGCCAGCAGCGGTGGCCGCAGTAGTAGACTCTTCGGTCTCCTGATCAGTCGCCGTGCGCTGTGCGGGTTCGAGTCCCGTCCCAGGAGAAATTTTTCTCTTGGCTATGGATGCTGTGATTGTCCGTAGGTGGTAGATGGCCTCTGACTGTCGAACGCGGAGGTACCACCCGGCGGTTCTCGTAGGCGGAGCCAGAATGTGTGCATGTTGCATGCACACGTGTTCCCTCGCCAGAGTCCGTGTGGCGTCCCCCCGTTTCCCATGTATCCCCCTATAGCCCTACGGTACCCAATGGGTGCTTAGGCCTTAGGCCTTCGTGGTAGTTGGAGTATAAAAAAAAAAAAAAACAAAAAAAAAATAGCGGCATCCATCCAGGCATCTTTATACTACACTGGAAGAGCGTTGGGACGGACGTGTTATTAAATGCTCTTGGTTTAGCTAATATTCCGATTATATAACAACAAAGGAAGTTTGTGTGTACCGGAAGCATTGCTACAAGCAAGGACAGTCACACGTTCTTTACTGAGTTGTTAACCAGGAGCTCCAGATTCTCGTTTTGAAGCTAAACTTTTCGCCGGTAACATTTTATAGTTTAGGCACGTTTCGTCGCAGTTGTAAATTTGTTCTGGATTTAAACCATACTGTTTCATTAATTCCTTACAATGTTCTCCAAATTTTAATGCAGCGGACTTAGCGGCAGATAACTTTTCTCCGCAAACTTTTCATTCGTATACCGTGTCGGTTTTTTCCATCTATGCAGCCAACCATCACTGGTTGTGAAATTATCAGGCGCCTCAATAACTGGCAATTCTTCAGTTAAGTTGATTGCCTTTTGCTTTAGAATTGGTTCGGAAATTCGTATTCCATATTCTCGATCCTGTGTAAACAACAGATATAAAGCATCATCCACTTTTTGATATTCCACTTTTTCATAGTTTTCGTGATGACTGCGATGTTATCAGAACACTAGACCACTTTTCAATTTTCTCGCATTGTTTTTGCCATTCTGAAATGGTTCTCAGGCCCACACCTCACGTTTTTAAGCAAATGACCTTCTGATTGCCTCAAATTTCTGTTCTACGGCAATAACAACGCGTTTACGTTTATTTCTATGCTGCTGCATCTTAGCGATTATGAACGCACCAGTGAATTCCGCAAATGCGCTTGGGGAATCACCGGCAGCGAATATAATGACGCAAACGCCGAAAGGGGAACTACCGGCGGCTATTTCGGATCATGCGGATTTCGGATTATCGCGATTCAGATAATTGGGGTTCTAATGTATCTGTCTTATCTCTGTTTGACGACGACGTAGATGAGGAAACTAATGTTAAAATTATTGCTAATTTAACCAAATAAAGTCCATCAGCTCACGGTAAATCCTATTGTAAGAACTTTCTAGCCCATTTTATAGTAAGTCTGACAAAGAAATGTTCCTTTGTCTTCTTTTATTGCTTCGACATAATGTGCTAACTGTTAAAATAAGCCAGCAGCGGTGGCCGCAGTAGTAGACTCTTCGGTCTCCTGATCAGTCGCCGTGCGCTGTGCGGGTTCGAGTCCCGTCCCAGGAGAAATTTTTCTCTTGGCTATGGATGTTGTGATTGTCCGTAGGTGGTAGATGGTCTCTGAATGTCGAACGCGGAGGTACCACCCGGCGGTTCTCGTAGGCGGAGCCAGAATGTGTGCATGTTGCATGCACAAGTGTTCCCTCGCCAGAGTCCGTGTGGCGTCCCCCCGTTTCCCATGTATCCCCCTATAGCCCTACGGTACCCAATGGGTGCTTAGGCCTTAGGCCTTCGTGGTAGTTGGAGTATAAAAAAAAGCATAAACTGCGATTCAAGCAACAGATGGAGCCTTATACGTACTGTCTGGTTTCGATAGATCTTATACCTCAGATAGAGGCTAGTTGCTATGCTTTCGTTCGTTGTCCTGCCCTGAGGCCAAGCCTACACGACGCTGATGAGTTGCCAAAAAGCACAAAACATATGTCCGACTGTGGTCGGACAGAGAAAGCCAGTATGTTTAGATGGTGGCTATTCTTCGTTTTTTCATTTGAGAGAAAAATATCGATGACTTTGTTTCAATCAAAAGCACGTCCTTCTTCATTCTACTTAAAACTGATGACAGTTTTCTCGACGAGTACCTATCATACTTCATGGCCACATAATGATTCTTTTCAACACGTTAAGAATAAGATGAAAACACTGAGAGCACTTAATGATACGGCAGAAAGAGCAGTCAAGTTAATGCAAGAGTTCTATGGCTTAATCAGTGCTGATGAGGAACAAAAACAATTTTTATTACGTTGAGTACAAGAACACAGGCAGGTATATCCTGACTGTGAAAAAAAAACTTTGAAAAAAATTGCAAATAATGTTCTTTTAATGATTAATATCTAAGAAATATATGATACAAATAAAGCAGTGTTTTATGTTTGTCGAATAAAAATTAGGTTTGAAATCAAATTCACAGTTTGACCGAAAGTGGGCATGGCATGGGTTATCGTTCCCGGATCGCAATAATATTTATTTTTTGAGTTGTTAGAGCCAATTGAAAAAAATAGAGGATATGCGTACGAAAATTTGTATCCCTTCATAGTCAGGTTCACCGTAATGTCGAGGTACTAAGTGTACGACATCTTTGACTGACTTTTTTCTAAAAAGGTCTAGCTTGTGCTGAACATAATCCTTTCATGAACTGATGGCATTGCTTGGAAAGTGCAGTATTAACCTATATGACGCATTTTTTTTTAACTAGGCAAAAACACGTATCTATCGTATGAGCTCCTTTTCAGCATACCCAAATGTTGAGGTGGGAATCATAAGTTTATTCTGTTACAGCCTCTCGAAAAGAGACCACAATTTGCGTAAGATTCCTTGGAAGTGAGCAATCAAAACATACAATTTGTATCGTAGGTGGGTGTTGAAAGAGATTTTCTGCATCGATGGAAGACCGGGACCGTGTATCGCTCCTGGTCTAGACCTAGAGTAGGGGGCGTCTGATCCTATTTGAAGTCAGAGGAGAGGGGATAGACGACGTGAGTCCAGCTTTTGATTCAGGATTTACATTAAGCGTCTTTAGTCAGCACTTTTGGGGCGACGAAGTTGGATAGACGAACGACACTCGAGGCAGTATCTAACGACGGGCGAATTGTACACGCGACAATTACATTGTAATATTACATGCGACATCGGACATTGGTGATATTGAGTGCGATAAGATAAATACGAGAAGTAAGTGTTCTGTGTGCGCGTGTGCCTCATAGAATCTATTTAAGGATATACAGGTTCAGTTAAGCAGAATATATGCGCTAACGTTTGGTAAGGGCTACCTGAAACTCACCATCCAAAATAGAATGGATTTATGGATATTTGATGCCGACGGAAACGGTCATTTGGCAATATCTTCTGCCACTAGGTGATCAAACTACACCAAAGAAACTATGTCTTAATTAGGAGAAAAAGATTCAACCTGTACGTCTCAAGCTTCATTTATACCATAAGATGAGTAGAATCACAAAAATCCGTGTCTTCAAATTTAGATTCAATTTCTACTGAATTTGAGATAACTGATCGATACTCAAAATACTAGTAGCTAAGATAGACGATTTCAAAAGGTAGGAAATGAAATTCATTATCTCTAATCTCGGAACAAATCAAGCGCTCAAAAATTAAGCTTGGTCAAAGTCCAAACCACCTAGATTACAATTTTCTATTTAAGTAATGTTGACAGACCAAGCGAATATACAAGATATGTGGTTCCTAAAAAAGCATTAAAATACGAAGACACTCAAAACTTTTGGTGTTTTCGAGGTGCAAATAGTGTATTTTTTTTAAAATATAATCTAAATCCCTTGTAATTCTTTCAAATGGTTGATCATTGACAATTTTTTTTTGGAATTTGGCATCAGGCTAGAAGCCACATCCACACTCCAACATCATTGACGTTTGATATCTGTATTTTCATTTTCACTCTAGTTTTTGATGCATCGGTTTATTTTTGTAGTTTCGATACAATTGTAACATGATACCGATTTCATTGAAAGTATTTTAAACATACGACTATAGACCATGCAGCGCCTCGTATCTATCACACATAAATGAAGAATTTTAAGTTAAGAGTCCTAATCTATATTAAAAAATGCGTTATGACAAAGATGCATTTGTATGTTGTTCGATATATTCTTATTAATGGAAAAGCTTACTTTACTTAGTTCCATGAGAACAAAAAATTGCAAAATTAAAGTAATAAGCATTTATAGTGTAAGATATCAAGCAAGTTTTGAAGCACACATCAAATACAAAAATCTGTAAAGGCAATCGCGGTAACGTATCATAGGGAATGTAAATGGCAACGCTGGTTAGGTAAGGTAAACCTAGCGGCGACACTGTTAGGTTGTATAACATTTACAGTATTCTGTCACATTATACATACAGCCTAGGCTTAGTGACGTTTGATCACCTAGTAATGGAACATTCGCATCATCCTAGCCAATACTTCAACCAAATCCTTTCTACTATGCTTGTACGACTGCAGGTACCCTTAACTGACCCCTTTTTTTACAATGTTGTTACTACTGAAGATTCCGCTGATTATATATATATATATCTTCAACGACCAAAAAGGATTTCACATTCACAGATTAACAAGTAAGATACCTATGAGTGACACATCAAAGCACCTAGGTAAACGGTACTCACAATCTAAGGATAATATCACATTTTGCCAGCTAGTAAAAGTTCTGCTAAAGCCAGAATTCTTGGTCCAGAGCTTGTCTGTATTCTGCCCATCAGAGTCACACCCTCACAATTTCTGTCATGAGGGATGGTGATTGTCTGGCTGGTTATTCCATAGCGAATCCCTCATCTATCCTAGCAATGAAGAAGCGAAATGCTACCTGTCTATAGCCAGGCAACAGCTTCGGCTTGCTATTGACATTGCTACTGGATACTGTCAGCTGAGGAAGCATCTCCAATATGAGAATAGCTTGAGCAGACGAGGTGAACAGGCCCTTGCTTTCCGAATAGTAACAAAAGTATCAAAAATGTAAGCGAAACTGGTTTAGGGTAGCTGATAATTGAGTCCTTAGTAACCGCTCGTGGTTGATTACCTTTCCTCCAATACAGGATACAAAAGTTACAGCTCACAATATTTACCGACCGAAAACTGGGAGTAATAGCCCCACCCAATTTGCCCCCCTATCTACTTCATTTTATCTAATTATACCTTATGAAACATACAATTACGTTATGGTCACCTGAACATATTTTTTTTCAATCAATGCCAACGGTATGATTCATTCGAAAAATACTTTCATATCATTGAGCTTTCAACACATTCGGAATGATTCACTTATCTTTAAAGACTTGAGAGAGAATGAGAGGTGTAACCAAGGGTGAGCCGGGGTTTGAACGGGGGATCCAACAAGCTGACAAAAGTTCCAATAAGCCTTTATGATTAAATATATCGTTATCATTGAAACTTTTAACCCATACAGAATAATTCATTCAGCTTTGAACAGTTCAGAGAATCAAGGGTGTAACCAAGGTTGAGTGGGGTTTGAACAGGGGATTCAACCCTTTAAGCTCACAAGAGTCTAATAAGCGTTAATGACTCAATACTTTCATACTATTGAAGCTTTCATCATGTTGAAATGATTCTATCCTTGAACAGATCAGAGAATTAAGGATGTAACCAATGGAGTGTGGGGGAGGGGGCTTGAAGTTTACAAGCTCACAAAAGTTAAGCCTTATGATCAAATACTTCGATATTATTTAAGCTTATAACACATACGGAATAATTTACTTGTTCCTTAACAGTTCATAGGATCAGAGAAGTAGTAAAGGGTGAGTGGGGTTTGAACAGGGGATTCAAGAGTTCCAATAATACTTTTTGGCTCAATACTTTTATACTATTGATGCTTTCAGCTCGTTCGAAATGAGTCTATCATTTTTAACAGATCAGAGAATCAAGGATGGAGTCAAGCCATTAAACACACACGGAATAATTCATTCATATTTGAACAGTTTAGAGGATCAGGGGTGTAACTAAGGGTGAGTGGGGGTTTGAACGGAAAATTCAACCCCCAGTTCCAATAAGCCTTTATGACTTAATACTTTCATAGATTCGATCATCTTTGAACAGTTCAGAGATTCAAGGGTGTATCCAATGGTGACTTGGGGTTTGAACGGGGGATTCAAGCCTACAAGCTCACAAAAGTTCAAATAAGCCTTTAGGATTAGATACTTCGATATCATTGAAGCCTTCAACACAGAGGGGATAATTCAATTTTTCCTGAACAGTTCAATCAGAGGTGTAGCAAAGGTTGAGTCGGGATTTGAACGGGGGATTCAGCTCAACAGGATCACAAAAGTTCCTAAAAGTCTTTTTGACCCAGTACTTGTGTACTGTTGAAGCTTTCAGTACGTTCGAAATGATTCGATCGTATTTGGACAGTTCAGATAATCAAAAGTGTAACCAAAGTTGAGTCAGGGTTTGAACAGGGGATTCAACCCGACTCACATACCGAATAGTGAACACTTCAGAGTATCAGAGGTGTAGCAAAGGTGAGTGTAGTTTGTACAGTGTTGCACTCTTACGGGCTTTAAAGATTTCAAAAAAAACTTTATAACTGTTTTTACGGAGCTTTCAGGGAGGCTCACTTGATTATTGCCAATGACGATTACAGCCTGTGAGTCGGAGTCCAACACCCAACTTAAGATTGAAACAAGCAACTTTCAACTCTCTCTTTTACTATCATCTGGATATAAATCGCTTATTTCACAATCTTTTTCTACTTGTTACCCTGTTCTAAAACCTTATTGCTTAATGCTGATTGGAATTTGACGCCCTTTTTGAAAAGCAGTGAAAATTTTAGGGGCATCAAGTGGCTAAAAAAAGATTGTTCTCCTTCTGGTGGTTGCTCAGTACATTGGACCTAATTGGTCCGTAGTAGCGCTGGGTTTCCTACAAGGGGTAAAAAGTATCAGAAAGGAAGACATGTATTAGTCTAAAGAAAATCGGTATTCTCTATGAATTTACTACCAGTAACTCGAATAGTACTTTCAGATTTGTATAGGAGTTAAAAACTATCGGATAGATCGACAGAATTGAGTGACAACTTTGCACACAAGTCCGCGGTAGAAAAAAATTGTTGTACGTCACAGCCTTATGATCGACTGACTCATCAAAATTCTCATACGAGATAAAGCTTACGTAACCTATTGGTCATAAGCTAGTACATTGAGTAGCAAAGGATGCGGCAACATGTTTTTCTGTTCAGGTTACACCATCCAAGAACGTCTGCCTATAAATACAGTTACTTGCTATTTTAATACTCACGGCTACATATATCACTTTTTGACTATCTACAGATCCAGCGAAAGGTAATTAATAATCGGGATATTAGAGCATGACAATCTTCATAAGAAGCTTTGGAATATATTTCGACGCTAGTTTATTAATAAGGTTAAAATTGGAAAACATTTTTATTTTCAATATGGCTTTATCCCCCATCACAAATAAGATGGACTCATAATTGTTTTTACTGTGGAGATACATTTACATTGTCACTTGGAAATGACAGAAGAGTTGTCATATATCAAGGAAAGTGGCCATTTTTGATCCGAGGCGTGTTTATTATGTAAGGCAAGTAACACGGCATCACAATAAGGAAAATATTGCTTTGAATAACTATGGACTGCTTTCCTAAATTTAGCCAAATGATATATTATTTACTAATTGTTTGAATTTATTTTTTTGAACTAAGTCGGACTCAACTGTTAACTAGATGAATCAAATGCGATGAATCATGAAAAATAAAAAAAAACATAGATTTCAGAAACCGTGTTCAAATCAAATATAGTTTGTTTAGAGTGTGCCAAATTTTGTTGTCCAAACTCAACTCAATAATGCTGTGTACAAAATAAGTGTTACTCACCTATTAACAGTAGGTGCCAAATATAGGTTACAATGTTTCCATGACACCATGTTTTGACAATGACTAATGTCTCGATAAATGTTTATACCTCATTCAAAAATAGAAATTTTAGTGATAGTATAATCACATATGTCTTTGATCATCGTAGACAAATCTGACGCTTCATTTTAAAAATAAAATACTTTTAGTGTAAGTAAAAGCTATTAACAAGTGTCATATATTGGTTAGAAGCAGCTTTTGCCAAATTTTAAAGTGTTCTGAATGTAATTTTAGTCACAGCATTGTGATTTTTGATCTACCTGAAATTTATTGTTTTTTTACTGGCACAGGTAGCATTTCAAGCCAAGTGCATCCTAAATAAAACTAAAAAAAGATCAAGTTCTTGAAAGATATCTTATGATGGTATAAAATAAAAGTATCGTGACAAAAAAACAGTAGCTTTGTGAAACTTGTGCAGGATGACTGAATGAATGACAAATACAGGGAGGGTAATTTTATAACTGGACAACTGCTTAGATATCAATCCCACTTGAGCATGCTCATTCTGTTTTCGTTTTGCTTAGAAATGTCCACTTTTAAAATTGCCTAACCTGCATGCATTTTTTAATACAATTATACAAAATCGGAAACTGTGACTAGTCTTGGTCCGATTTTTACTTTTCCTAGCTCTCATTAAACCTACTTACCCCTATTGTGACAAAAATATCTTCTGAAAGCTACATGTGCAAGTGCAAAATTCTGACAATATTCTAGAATATGATTCCTGAGATAATTTTATGAACAAGTTTATATGAAAATATGACCCCAATGGCTTGAATTTCTCACTAGACGGTGTTGCGAATACTTTTTAAATTTAGGATATTGAAAGAGGCATATGGCATATTTAAGTACAAAAAGCCATTCTATTGCACCATCTGGTTAGAAATTAAGATATGTTTATCTGAGGAGAAAAAAAGAGAGGGCTTTTATGTACAAATGATTGAGCCAACTAGAAAAATATTCACTTTGAAAATCAGTAGCGTGTTAATTTTTTTATAAAAAAAGATCAAGGAATGTTTGTAGGGACGTCAGTAGTGCGATAGAATAAATTTGTATACTAAACTATGTCAGTTTATATGCTCCTATAATATTTCAAGAGTAAAAATACGTATGAAGTTAAAGATAAAAACATTTTTTTCTTTAATATTTAGATTATTCTGGAGTATAGTGCAGTAGCACATCATTAAGGAACACCCTGTATATCAGTTATAATGTATTTATCCTCCTTCATGTACTGTGCCAAGATTTCTCCTAAGTATTTTTGTCATAAATCCCCGTTTTCATTTCCCTGTGCATTGGATTGATTAGATTGGAAACTATGTGGATGCTGTTACAGAAACAATGTTCAGTGGGAAGCTATTTGCAAGTTATGAAGAAAGACATTTTTTATTAGTACTTTGAATTAATAGGGTAAAGAGCAAATATACACATAGCGCGAGTAACTACGAGGGTGGTCTGATAGGTACTTAGTCTCACCGCCTGATGACGCCACTATCACAAGAAAAATTTACTGCCGTGTAGAACATTCTCTTAGACAGCTGCTGTCAAAATTTCAGCCGAATCGAACTCGTAGTTTTGTTTTGACCGGGTGTGGAAGCTAGCGTGTCCGCGGATTTTTGAAAAATGGAAAGTGGTTAACACCTGTCGGTGATTCGAACAAAGAGCGCTTGGATGCTGTGTACAGTGACTCTTCTCCTTCGATGGCGATAAAAATGTGCGGCGCTGACTTTTTTGAAATAGATATACATTTTAATCGGATTAAGCAACTAATGATATAAAATTTTAGTCTCTTGGTATCTCTTTGTATCTCACTTCCTTTGTGGGGAAGAAATAAAAACAGCTTCATTACATGTCAAAAACTGATTAAAATAAGATCAAATCAACTTTCATCGTTGCCAAGGAATGTTGCTCTGGTATTATGGACATATTTTTAGTTTCCCGTGACAGTTTGCTATTATTTTTTCTTTTTCAAAGCCATATTTTTTTAATCTTTGAAACCATGCATTTTGGAAGCTTATCAAAACTTTTCTACGTGAATTTTATTCAGGAATAGACCCTTCTTATTATGGCCTATCATTAAGTAACTACTAAAGTGATACGACTAGCTGCGGAATATATTCCAAAGCCTGCCTATCAGCTGCAAGTGTGTCTTTGAATTGTCTGGAATAGCCCACAGATGCATTATGAGATAGCAAATAGACAACAGTACTAAGGGATTCATTCCTAAAGAAGGTTATGTTTCCATTGACAAATATTTGAATAGCTGGTTCGCATTTTTTTAAATATAGAAATTTTTATGCAGAATTTTCCTCCGCCGAAGTGTCAATATTCGCACCTGTATATTTGGTTTCCGTTATGTTTTCTGAGTAAACCAATTGGCAGTCAGCGATATCTAACTGATGAACATTTTCGTAGAAACCATCGGTATAAATAGCTTCTAACTGGATATGTTTATTTGTCCATGCATTCTCTCGAGATCTGATAATAAACAGCGAAATTTCCCAAAGCCTCTGGCTAACATTCTAATAAAATATTTTCCAATCATCATAGCTAAAACTGGACAGTAAGATAAATACTTTTCATTTTCTCGAATATTGTTACACAGTATCGGTGCGAAAAGTAATATTTCTCTAAATTAGTTCTTAGTAGAAAGTGATCTTGAACTCGACGACAAAAAATTCTCTATGGGATAAACTATACCCGCAATGTTAACTCTTAGCAAGTAAGTATAACTGAACGTAACCATAGCCCTAATAGGAATTACCCACCTTAATTTATGTGTTCAAATAATAATAATAATAATAATAATAATAATAATAATAATGCCGTTATTAGCTGCAGCGAGGCGAAGTTTAGCCAGACGGGCTACTCTTACACTCAACCCCACAACAGAAGAAAAAAAAAGATACTTAAACACATAAACAAAATAATAACATACAAAAAAAATACAGTTCATAAGCATGACAACATTGACTGCACGAGACAAATGCAGATAGTATTGTGAGAGTTTTAAATTTGAAACAAAAATAGTAGAAAATAGTCAAAAAAAGCACATGAACACCAGAAAAACTGAACCAAATGGACTCCAGCAGCTGATTTTCATTTAATTTCTTAAAAGAAGCAACCTGTTTGGATCGATAGCCACTGTTGACTGCATTGTATGCTTTCCAATACCGAGGTATTGTGAGGAGGCATGTTAAAATTAGCATTAAATCTAAGAGCTCTGGTAGCAAAACTACCACGGGGAACTAATTTGCTGGCAAGGTAAGCTGGTCTGTTAGATACAAACATATTATATGGTGTATGGTTCTGGTCCTATAAACGGTAAATTGCCAAAAGGCTGTTTATCCTTTTGGTCAGCATGGCCTGGTACACGCACTAGATTGATTCTATTCCCATCTTCTATGCTACGACGAGCTCTTTTGCAATTCCACACTGATTTGGATGAGTAGTAAGTGGAGTAAAGTGTTTTAAGAAAGGCAGCTCGACTTAACTTAAGGATAAATTGACCCCCCTTTTAACTTTCTTATTTAAATTTCTAGAACAACAAATTATATTCGAAGTTATAGGTCCTAACATAAAGTTTTTCATACAATGTTTTTTTATACATAAAATATGTTATACAATGGAACGCCGTGCACATTTTCAGTGAAAGTATTCATACAGTTTTATGGTGAGGCTCACGCAAGCGTTCGATGTGTGTTGTGACATGCAAACTTCCATCCTATGTCCACCCAGAGAATCTTTACAAATGGGTGGCTGACTTTCTTTCCTGCCGTCAGATATCCGTCGTAATTGACGGGTTCTGCTGTTCATCCCACAACGTCAACACGAAATCGATATTGGTTCACTGCTTGGTGCCGCAACAATCTTGTACAGTTTAATGTTTCCAAAACACAGTGCTGTGCCTTGACGAACAAAAAGCGTCCTGGCGCTCATCCAGTTTGGATGGATGGCCGAGCTCTGCCAAAGAACCGTTCAGTTCGGCTCGTGGGAGTAGAGATCACACCGACGACTTAATCTGGCACGAACACATTTCGTCAATAGCGGCAGCTGCTGGAAAAAGCTAGACTATTTGTTTAGGACTAAGAAGTACTTTTCTCCACGTGATCTTCTTTCTCACTCTATCCAAGGTCTAGATAATACCTAGCCTTAAGTATCGCTCACATGTTTGGGGTCCTGCAGGATGCTGTTCGGAGAAGGGCTATCCGACTGATCGATGACTTCTCTAACGGACAGTCTCGGGACCCTTTCGCACAGGCGGGCGTCAACGATTTAGTTCTTTTCTACCGCTAGAACAACGGGCTTTGCTCCTCAGAGCTCTTTTCCATGATGCCGCGGCGTGATGTGCCTGTCAGACAGACCCGCCTCCCATCATAACCGTGTCGTACTTCGTACATCCAGAACTGGCCGATACGACCGCCCCTTTGTCTCGAGGGTATCGAGATTGTAGAACAATCTCAAAAGGAGGTTTTTCTCAGTTCTAGTAACAGTTCAAAAATCAGAATTACGAAAATTCTCAATTCAAATGTTGCCTTGATATCACTCAGCTACTGAATGTTTATTTTGCAATGGTTTACTCACAAATATCATACCACGTGATATTATCTGGAAACTCACCATTGACTGATAAGATAATCATGTCCTTTTTTAAAAAGCTACAATATAAAACTTATATAAGAAGTCCCTAACCACGTACGAGAAAAACTGCAACGTAATACTATCATATCAGAGGTAGCACTTATTTGAGGTCCACTAAGCACAAAACAACTGTATGTGAAAGTAGCCCATTTTACATCGGCCATAGGCTACTCAACTCTGCCTTATTCTCTGAAATCTATGAGTGATGAAAATAGTTTTAAGAGGTCACTAGAAGAGCTCCTTCTAGAAAATTTCTTCTACTCTGCGCAAGAATTCTCAAATTTCTAATATGGTATAGTTGTTAACTTCTATTTTATCATTGTATATGTATTGTACTTGTACTATGTTTTTATATAACCTTAAGCGCAGCTTTTGAACTTCAAATAACATGTTCAATATC